TGAAAAAAAAATGAAACAAATTTATTGGTTTTAGAATTTGTGTTATGTATTTGAAGCCAGAATTGGATTTCGAAATGTCACTTTTTTGTTTTATTCTATGTTTTAAAAAACGAAATATTTGTTAAGTTATTGAAAATATAATTCAATTTCAATTTGAAAAAAAAAAACATAAATTTCGAAAAGGAATAGACTAAGCCACATTTACACAAACGACTTACAATGCGAATTGTGAATTTAACTTCAGGTTAGATGGCAAGAAATATTGGATGCCTTCGTCTTGCAATGCGAATTGTAAATTGAACTTTAGGTTAAATGCTAAGGAAATCTTATGCAAACTACATTTAACGTGAATTGTTTGCTTGAATGCTAAGCAAAGTCTTATTCAAAAGGCTGGCAACGCGAATTGCAAATTTAACTTCAGGTTAAATATCAACAATAATAACAAAAATAGAAAAAGAAGGCTCTTGCAAAGGCTTTTAAGCCTGATGAGCTATTACAGCTACTATTTAAACTTGTTTCCATTCCATCCCCTCCCCACGAAATGCTTACCCCACCCCCACCCCCCCCCCCCCTCTCTCGACTGGTTGCAAATGTGCATAAGATAAATGGAGCACAAAACGCTTTGAGGCAACATTAAAAATGTTTCCCATCTTTCCCTCCCCCTTCCCCTTCCAGCGCACACCCATCAGCAGGCCAAACTACAGTGGCGCCATCTAGCGCCGGGCGTTGGGCCAACTGTTGGCCATATAAAAAGTCATTCACTAATGGCTCGTCAGTAGAGCGGCCGAATGGCTGGCTGGCTGGGCTCATGTGGAGCACATGGGGCAATAGATAGGCGCACCGTGGAGCGAGGGGCGTAAAGCGTAGGGCGGGGGGGCGAGGGGCTGGACCCGAAGTAGGACCAGGATGGATGGCTATGACATGGTCTGGCGTCGTTCTATCCATTTGTATTTGCGCTTCTATTGGCAACATGTGGCGCCTTTTATTAAAAATTTATTTGCTCATATCACACACACACCTACAAGCACACACTCACACACACACACACACACACACGTGGGCAGCGACAGACAAGGCCTAGACGAAAGGTTTGTTGTGCGGCTCGCACACGGCTTTCGTTTTTGCCTCCCCCCATTTCCCCTTTGCCCTTTGACCTTCAGCAGCTGCCGCACTCTTGCATGCGCAGTCTTTAAGACTGCAGAAAATGGAGGGGGAGGGTGGAGGGGGGGAGAGGGGGTGGCAGTCTGGCCAATTGTTGGCAGTCCATTTGGCTGCAACTCTTTTCGCCTTTTTATAGCCATTTGGCGCTCGCTGTCAAGTCCTTTGACCCGCATTCGCATAAATCTGTTGATGGATTGCTTAAAGCCCACTGATGGAATTCGAATTGAAGCAATGCAGCTGCCGGCTGCGAGTCGAATATATCGGAAAATAATAGTTCAATGGTGAATATGCAAGACTAGAAAATCTACCAGGCAATATATCAATATATTTCATCAAGTTTAGCTAATTCTATTACAGTCTAAAAATTTTTAAAAATTAAAAGAAAAAAAAACGGGCAGGTAATTATATTTGATATGTAGATTAATATGAGAGTGAGAATAAGAACATAAGCTAAGAAATGAGTAACAAGTAAGAGGTTCTAGTTGGGAGCTCCCGACTAGGCAATACCCTGAACCCTCTTCTTCCAACATCAAATATATATATACATATATATATATAGTCTATTTTAGAAGCTATATGTCAAGTTTGGTGACTCTAGCTCTTATTATTTACCAAAATTGCCCAAAAAACAGGATATCGATATCGATATTTTTATCGATTGCTTGGAAACGGAGCAAGTTATCGATTATCAGATACAAAATCGATCTGCGCATACATACATCTGAGCATACATACGGACGGACAGACAGACGGACATGGCTAGATCGACTCGGCTATTAATGCTAATCAAGAATATATATACTTTAAGGGGTCGGAGAAGCTTATTTCTGCCTGTTACATACATTTGGATTTTGCACAAATACAATATACCCTTTAACCCATTTTTAATGGGTTCAGGGTATAAAAAGCCCAACTTCGTGAAAATCGGTTGAGTTTTGACCGAGTTATGGGATTGGGAAGTTTTGACCAATGTCTATATAGGATTTTTGAGGGTACAATATATACATGAATTTGGACCCAAAATTAGGTTGTCAGATTTGAATGCCAAATTAATAAAGGGGCCAAACCATGAATAAAAAGCCCAACCTCGTGAAAATCGGTTGAGTTTTGACCGAGTTATGGGATTGGGAAGTTTTGACCCATGTCTATATAGGATTTTTGAGGGGACAATATTTACATGAATTTGGACCCAAAATTAGGTTGTCAGATTTGAATGCCAAATTCATAAAGGGGCCAAACCATGAATAAAAAGCCCAACCTCGTGAAAATCGGTTGAGTTTTGACCGAGTTATGGGATTGGGAAGTTTTGACCCATGTCTATATACGATTTTTCAGGGGACAATATTTACATGAATTTGGACCCAAAATTAGGTTGTCAGATTTGAATGCCAAATTAATAAAGGGGCCAAACCATGAATAAAAAGCCCAACCTCGTGAAAATCGGTTGAGTTTTGACCGAGTTATGGGATTGGGAAGTTTTGACCCATGTCTATATACGATTTTTCAGGGGACAATATATACATGAATTTGGACCCAAAATTAGGTTGTCAGATTTGAATGCCAAATTCATAAAGGGGCCAAACCATGAATAAAAAGCCCAACCTCGTGAAAATCGGTTGAGTTTTGACCGAGTTATGGGATTGGGAAGTTTTGACCCATGTCTATATAGGATTTTTGAGGGGACAATATTTACATGAATTTGGACCCAAAATTAGGTTGTCAGATTTGAATGCCAAATTAATAAAGGGGCCAAACCATGAATAAAAAGCCCAACCTCGTGAAAATCGGTTGAGTTTTGACCGAGTTATGGGATTGGGAAGTTTTGACCATGTCCTATATAGGATTTTTGAGGGTACAATATATACATGAATTTGGACCCAAAATTAGGTTGTCAGATTTGAATGCCAAATTAATAAAGGGGCCAAACCATGAATAAAAAGCCCAACCTCGTGAAAATCGGTTGAGTTTTGACCGAGTTATGGGATTGGGAAGTTTTGACCCATGTCTATATAGGATTTTTCAGGGGACAATATATACATGAATTTGGACCCAAAATTAGGTTGTCAGATTTGAATGCCAAATTAATAAAGGGGCCAAAGCCATGAATAAAAAGCCCAACCTCGTGAAAATCGGTTGAGTTTTGACCGAGTTATGGGATTGGGAAGTTTTGACCCATGTCTATATAGGATTTTTCAGGGGACAATATATACATGAATTTGGACCCAAAATTAGGTTGTCAGATTTGAATGCCAAATTAATAAAGGGGCCAAACCATGAATAAAAAGCCCAACCTCGTGAAAATCGGTTGAGTTTTGACCGAGTTATGGGATTGGGAAGTTTTGACCCATGTCTATATAGGATTTTTCAGGGGACAATATTTACATGAATTTGGACCCAAAATTAGGTTGTCAGATTTGAATGCCAAATTAATAAAGGGGCCAAACCATGAATAAAAAGCCCAACCTCGTGAAAATCGGTTGAGTTTTGACCGAGTTATGGGATTGGGAAGTTTTGACCCATGTCTATATAGGATTTTTCAGGGGACAATATATACATGAATTTGGACCCAAAATTAGGTTGTCAGATTTGAATGCCAAATTAATAAAGGGGCCAAACCATGAATAAAAAGCCCAACCTCGTGAAAATCGGTTGAGTTTTGACCGAGTTATGGGATTGGGAAGTTTTGACCCATGTCTATATAGGATTTTTCAGGGGACAATATATACATGAATTTGGACCCAAAATTAGGTTGTCAGATTTGAATGCCAAATTAATAAAGGGGCCAAACCATGAATAAAAAGCCCAACCTCGTGAAAATCGGTTGAGTTTTGACCGAGTTATGGGATTGGGAAGTTTTGACCCATGTCTATATAGGATTTTTCAGGGGACAATATTTACATGAATTTGGACCCAAAATTAGGTTGTCAGATTTGAATGCCAAATTAATAAAGGGGCCAAACCATGAATAAAAAGCCCAACCTCGTGAAAATCGGTTGAGTTTTGACCGAGTTATGGGATTGGGAAGTTTTGACCATGTCTATATAGGATTTTTCAGGGGACAATATATACATGAATTTGGACCCAAAATTAGGTTGTCAGATTTGAATGCCAAATTAATAAAGGGGCCAAACCATGAATAAAAAGCCCAACCTCGTGAAAATCGGTTGAGTTTTGACCGAGTTATGGGATTGGGAAGTTTTGACCCATGTCTATATAGGATTTTTCAGGGGACAATATTTACATGAATTTGGACCCAAAATTAGGTTGTCAGATTTGAATGCCAAATTAATAAAGGGGCCAAACCATGAATAAAAAGCCCAACCTCGTGAAAATCGGTTGAGTTTTGACCGAGTTATGGGATTGGGAAGTTTTGACCCATGTCTATATAGGATTTTTCAGGGGACAATATATACATGAATTTGGACCCAAAATTAGGTTGTCAGATTTGAATGCCAAATTAATAAAGGGGCCAAACCATGAATAAAAAGCCCAACCTCGTGAAAATCGGTTGAGTTTTGACCGAGTTATGGGATTGGGAAGTTTTGACCCATGTCTATATAGGATTTTTGAGGGTACAATATATACATGAATTTGGACCCAAAATTAGGTTGTCAGATTTTAATGCCAAATTAATAAAGGGGCCAAACCATGAATAAAAAGCCCAACCTCGTGAAAATCGGTTGAGTTTTGACCGAGTTATAGGATTGGGAAGTTTTGACCCATGTCTATATAGGATTTTTCAGGGGACAATATATACATGAATTTGGACCCAAAATTAGGTTGTCAGATTTGAATGCCAAATTAATAAAGGGGCCAAACCATGAATAAAAAGCCCAACC